GCTTTCAAACCCTAGAAAGAAAAAAACATGTAGTATAGGTGCGTGTGGGGGACGATTCTGCGAGGGCGGAGAAGAGATGCAATGAATTTTGTCCGAAGAAAAGGGAGGCACCGACCTCCACTTGCGTCACCATTCATGACGACAAGAATGTAATCTTTGTCAACCAGAAGTTAATTTTTGACATTCAAGGAAAAGCTATCCGAATAAGCAACCATTTCAGATGTGGAAAATGACGGGATTAATATCACCAAAAATTCTAAATCGGTACATATTCATCATACTTATCTCAAACTTATTTTCGTATCACCGAAGATCCCATACCGGTAGACTAGTGACACGTTTAGCGCCAAAACTAATTTTGGTCACATTTACTACAAATTAATTTTTCGTGTCATGAAAAATTACGGATTTAACCAGATTTTCAAAACTTGAGGGAGCTCTTAGGGTAAAATTAACATACTTCAAATTTCTCTATCCAAGATTTTGGTGATTTGAGATTTTTTATGACATAAAAATTAGTTTTGGATAAATGTGGCTCTATATACCGTTTGAGATTTTTTGTAATATGAAAATTAGTTTGGGGATAAATGTGGCACGAGTGTATCAATTTGAGATTTTTTATAGTCTCAACCCTAGAAGAAGGAGTCTGATTTCTTTACTTTTGAAAGCAAAAGCATTGTGTAAACACTGGCGAGGGTTTTTCGTGGTCCAAAAACCCCAGGCCAACTTTCTAGTATCAATTTTCTTAAAATCAATTTTTTATCCAATTTCTAGTTTCTGTTGATCTTTGATCATAGAACGTGGCAGCCAACTTTGCATAAATCTATGTATTGTACCGCATCGTAACACGCTTTTTCATTGACACCATAATTCGGAAAATGTGCGTTGCAGGTCGTATTGCGGTTTCAATGGAAAATGTTTTATATTAACAGAAATATTAGTATAAAGTTTTGGGCCATTATTTCGTTTCTCTGTAGTCTTGTCTGAAGGGACAATCCATTGGAAGAAGAAATAAATGCACTTGCAATAAGTACAAATTTTTACACCCATGTGGCAAGAAGAAAATAATGTGGAGGTTGAATCCATAAATGCAAAAACTAAAGACATACAACATTTAAGTCAATCAATGCAGAAGGTGAACAGATATTAGGGTTTATGTTCATTGGATCTTCTTGGAGCTAGCGTTGACCAGACATTGGCAGAGCCACGAAAGTACTTTAACATGGGTTCATCTCCCTTGTGAACTCGCTGCACGACTATTCTTGGCGTCTTGTGTTATTACAAATAGGTGATTTTGTCGAATCTTTTATGACAAAGACAAACGATGTTCAGATACATCCTTCAAAGAGGATTTTGCGGAGGAACTTAGAAGTTTGTGTCGATAATGGATCGATATATTTGAAACAACCACAAACATATGCCAAAATTTTTATCATATTTTACTTAAAAGTGTAGATTATAATGTAATAGATATCAAATATGAAATTGTTACTTGATTAAAATGCATTGCTCGTGCCTTATACTCAAACACATAGGAACAAATATCTTCTTTTTTTCTGTTGCATCAAACATTGTAACTTGTCCTCAACCACCAAGTTTAGCATGAATCTCAATTTAAGGCTCCGTTTGTTTAACGAAAAATGAATTATTTGAAAAATATTCTCTTAAAAATGATCGCTTGTATTACTTACAAAAATGAATACAAATTGATCTTCTGTATCTCAAATTTAGGTATAAATTGTTGTCGATAATGAAAATATTTTTCATTGACTAATTATTTCGAACGATACAAGCAATCATTTTTAAGAAATTTTTTTTCAAATCATTCATTTTTCGCGAAACAAATAGAATCTAAAAAAATTGTCCTAATCAAGATGCGGTGTAATTTAGTGTAATCTAGAAGTGATGATGACTAAGCCAACCATACTACTCTCAAACTAAAATAAAATAAAATAAAGATGGGAATGGGTAGAGAATCTACTTGTTGGCCAATTTCGATGCCCCGTTATCGGGAGAGATCATTTAAGGAAAGCTCAAATTCAAATCCATCAACATATCTAGACAGACATACTTATGACACATGATGTAGCTATACATTACAACATATTTCCAATGTGAGACGTCTTTCGCCTAATACCCACGCACATGTACTTCAACGATACTATTCTGCTTCTCTCTCTCTCTCTCTCTCTCTCTCTCTCTCTCTCTCTCTCTCTCTCTCTCTCTCACACACACACACACACAGAGCTTACTTGAGTACCATAGTAAGAATAATAAGTGCACACCCATATCGACATACCATAATAAGTATAATGAGTACCATCATGAGCTTACATAAGTTGACGAGGGGAGGTCAAAATGGAGATCAGTCAAAGATGGAAAACAACAGTTTAAATCCACGGAACATCATGCAAAGTCTGGGACAATGATTCTATTGAAACTTCACACAGTGACAATGATCCTACTGAAAATTCTTAACCCCACCTTTTGGATAACGCAAAGTGCTGTGTTTTCACCAGAAAAAGATGGTGGAATTCAATCACAGAAGCCACGTTTCTCCTCGAAGTGCATGCATTTATCTTGATGGTGGTGGTGGTGGGGGGTGGCTTGCAAAGCATTGATCAGACATCGTTCGCAATTATAACTAGGGTTGCTTGTCCCAAACAAGAAATATCATGTGGGACACGTTTTCGTGTGTGCCAAGAGATACCACCTGTAAGTGGAATCAATCGTCTCCCCCTTTGACCCGTCGATTGCGCTTTGGTAGTAGAACTAGCTTTTGACAGTTTGGTTAGAATGTGTACAGAATGCAAAGCATCAGTTCATTGGACATGGTTGCATTTCTGTGGGGGAAAACGACATGACAGTGTCCCGGAGCAGACCTAGAACTTCTCTTGAGTGGGGGCAAACTTAATCAATAATGATATGTTTTTTGTGGATCTAATTAATCTTAGTAAATATCATTAGGGTTTTTCTGTTAGGAGTATGTACGATAACAACTGGAATTTGCTTGTGAATTTATTATTTCTTTATAACTCACGGTTGTCTATTATGGTTTCTAACTATAGGGGCAAAAATTGAGGAAATGTGGGATAATTGCTTCTCTTGTAACTTTTTTGGAATTCTTATGTGGGCAAAATTATCAAATTTTGAAGTATAACATATTATTGACTTTCCTGTGAAAACTTAAAATATTTTTTTAACTATAATATATTATGACAAGATTGTACGGTTCTATATGGTTAACGTTTTTACATTTGGAAAGGTTTCAGATGATTAAATTAAATAAAAACAACACCAAATTTGTAAATAGAAGACACTCCAATCAGACATAAGAGAAAAACGAGTAGGAAACCCCATGAGCCTACCTTCTAGAAAACGAACAACCGACGCAACGTGGCAAGTACTAGTTTTGACCATCTTCCTCGAAAGGGACAGTTTCCAACATCATGTTGGGTCATTTAAGCAGCAACAGGAAGAGAAACATAGTACATGAATTGCTAAAAGGGTTACAAGGAAGCATCGTGGGTTGCCCAGACAAGAAGCAAACAGCAAAAAGCAAAGAAGGAAACCACATCGTTGGTTTCCAAAAAGGATGGCGGAAAGAAAGGTGTGGGTCAGTCTGAAATTTGCATTTCATCCAAGTTCAGTGAGTCAGATATGGATCGATGACGTGCATTGAACTGAACATGTGGGAGGTCGAACTGAGGTTGGTGGATGATGTGCATGGGATCTGCTTGTTTTCTCGTCCTGAATCTGTGGCAGATCAATCCGCTCGGGGAAAAGGATGGATCATTCATTATGGTCGTTGGCTAGATTCCTTGTGAAACGACTGCCTCAGATCGATTATCGACGGGCTCTACACAGCTCCACCGCCTTTGGCTTGAGGTCCGGCGGAACCCATTCAAGTGATGTATGATAATACTTTAATATTCACGAATGGACAAAGATCTCTATTCTTTTACTTTTCACTCAGACAAATTTTTAGATACAACGCATCTAGATAGCAAAAAAAAGAAAAAAAAAACGAGCCTTGATGAAAAATGTTAAATTCACATTGTGATCAAGCGATCGTTGTATAGTGAACGTAGTAGGTAGCGAGTCCGTCAAACTTCTATCTCAAAATTTAAGTTTCATCCGACCTTTTGCATCCTTGAAACTTCATAGAACTCTGCTCTTGCCAAGGTCTTGAATAGGGATGCAGTGGAGTCGGGTCGAGCCAATATCTTGTCGGTCTCGAGCTTGAGTCGCGTTAATACATACTCAGTGTACGAAGCTCGATTCAAACTCACTCGAGCATTATGGATCTCGTGTTAGAAATTACATCTCAAGTGGGAGCCTGTAAATGGAAACTCATCGACACGGGAATCTGGCCGGTTCTGCGAAACCCTCATATGCAGCGTCCCCGAAAGAAAAGTCTGAATTGGACTTCTTATGGCCAGCTTGTTCTGACTGAGTGAAGTGAAAGGAAAGCAAAAGAGGAAAGTAAACCAAATTCACTTCCAGTTGGATTCGGCCAAGATTGCTTGACTTACGTGATTTTATCGGCTAAGCAGCGTGGGTGCCGCGTGTGCAAAGGGGCTGCTTTTCTCGTTGATGGCTGCGACCTCCGTACTTGCGTTTGGCAATTAAAGCTTGCGAGAAAGATAAAAGGCGCAAAATAATTTAAAGGTGCTCAGAGGATAAATTCGTGGAAAAACTAGAGACAAAAGTAAATGTGCATGAGAACAGGTGTCCCTTCGTTGATTGATTGTGGCTTCGCAAAGATTGCAATGTGGGCTTTTATATCCCACCATGAACAATTGTTTACGGATAGATATGGATACGAATAACTTCATAGAATTATCTGCAATTATCGATAAGCGGTCACCATTTCCGAGATTCTAGATACCATTATCTATAATCTAACAGTGATTATCCACGATAAGTTATAAAGTTCAAGAATATGGGCATAACCATCTGGCAGTCATGTGTTCGTGTCAATCCATCGCGTTCGTTTTAACCTCTGTATTGGTCATAAATTACATAGCTTCAACACTGAGCAATATTGACAATTATTTTGACTTTGGCGGTCGATTTCCTTCGAATTGTCAACCTTCCTTCCAGCTTTCTACAGGTGAAGGATTTCATCGATATCCTCTGCACTAATGTCGCCTTCTTGTCGTATACAATCCTGTACTAGGATTGTGGCGTGATCTATCCAATCAATTACGCAGCAGGAAGCGAATCAAGATTAATTCGTCTTTTGTTTAAATCTCTCTCTATAGTAACATGGTTTGATAACAGCACAGGGAGGCACTTCAATCGTATGGATCGCAGGCAATCATGCAGAATTGTGGAACAACACAGTAGGGAATTAAAGAAGCGAAAAGCATGATGAAGACTCGAGGGGTCATTAGTCAAAGTTGTACTCATTGCTGATCGAGAAGATACGTCGCGGTTGTCTGCACCGGGACACAGCCAGCATCAGGGTCTGTTGGCGTTTCTTTTCCATCTTTTGTTTGGTCCGGCGACGCTCCATAAAAGAGCCTCGCCATCACCTTCCACGTTAAAAGCCTCGCTCTTCACATTCCTCTCTCTCTTTCTCTCTCGTATAAAGAAGAGCTGTGTTCGATGGTTATGCACGAATGGAGGCGTGACGTATCGTCGATCGGATGCTGGACAAAGAACATCATCGAGAAACCGGAGGCTTTGATGGTTAAGTACTTCAGCGCGAGGTCCGTCGTGCTCCTGCTCGTCCTGGCGATATCGCTCCTGGTGCTGCCGCTCCTCCTGCCGCCGCTCCCGCCGCCTCCGGCACTGCTGCTCCTCGTGCCCGTCCTCATCATGTCTGTCCTCATCCTCCTCGCCTTCTCGCCCGCCCACATGCCCAACGTCATTGTTAATTCCGTCTGATTTTGATCCTCGAGACGACGACGATCGCTCTTGCATGAGAAACCATCTGGTGCTTTTCCCGAGTATCATCTGGCGGCTCGGCCGACCAAAACCTTGTCGGAGAACTTTTGTTCGGGAGGGAAACGGAAGATCGCTCGCGTCAGATCCGATGCCTGTGTCGACTAGAATCGCCGTGGAAGAACGTGTGAAAACCTGCCCGAAGTTGAAAGATCGCGAGACCCAGATAGAGAGATGATCAAGGTTCAAGAAAGCTTCGTCACATCGACTTGCTTCAGATTTTCTATTCACCGGCCGCGATGGGTTTCGAATTCTGCAGTCACGGATATTGGTAGTGCAGCGGCGGCGGCGGCAGCGATGGCAATCAATCTATGACGCGGCTGCGCTCGAAAAGCATCCATAGTCTCCGGCTTTTGTTTTTTGGTCAATGCATAGTCTCCGGCTTGACGCGGCGTTTTCTGTATGATGTATAACATGCGCAGTTGACAAGCTTGGATCCATTTTGACCCATCTGGATTTCCGACGCTTTGTGATATTAGCAGGCGGAGACTCTTATCGATTTTCAAACAACTTCTGTCTCGGAAATAGCCTATAAAATTGCCCAGTGCTTCTATATTCCTTCTTTCGCATACCCTAGAGATTGCGAGGAGGTTATGTGATTTAATAAATTAGGCTGAGACCTCCTTCTTAGCTTAAAAAAAAAAAGAAAAAAAGTATGTCCGTCAGGTGTCTGAAATACTTGACACGTGCATATTCCTTGGTCTCGAACTTGATTAGGGTTTTGCGTAATCTATGGGCGTGTCGGCGCTTTGAAGATCCTTGTCAAAACGGACTAAGGGCCCGTTTTATTCAACTTTACAAATGAGACTTGGAAGAATGCAAATACCTTTAGACTAAAACATTTTGGAAAAATGCAAATAGCGTTTAATAAAAAATCATTTGTGAAGCTACTTTCGACCAAGTAGTGTTTGGCAAATATTTTTTGCAAAGGGCTTTCGAAATTATTTTTTATTAAAAAAAAACTTACCCTACCTTTCACCGGAGCTGACGAAGGCCTACGGTCGCCGGTGAGCTAGATCTGGCATCGGCGGCCGTTGCTCGAGGTCGGGCGACCCTCGGCGAGCCAGATTTGCCGTCGACGGCCATCGCCTAGGTCGCGCGACCTAGGCAACAGCCGCCTGAGGTCGAGCGATCTAGGCGCCAGCCGCCTGAGTCGAGCGACCCAGGCGACGGCTGCCTAGGTCGCGCGACCCCAAGTGACGGCCTCACGTGACCCAGGCCGATGGCGCCTGGGAGGTCGCGCGACCTCAGGCGGCCGTCGCCTGGGTTGTGCGACCTTGCCGATCTCTCGCCGGCCCGATCCGGTGTCGGCCGCCCTTGCCGACCTCCCTCGCTGTGTCGAAAAAGATGAACAGTAATAAGAGGGGCAAAATCGGAATAAGCCATAATAAGTTAGGGTAGTTTGGGGTCAAAAAAATTGGGTTCAGCATTCCCAATGCTAGCTTTTGGTCGAAAGCCAGCATTGGGAATGCTTGCCAAACGGTTCAGCATTTTCCCAAGAGACTTTCGAGGCCGAAAGCCCCTTCCTAAACTGAATCAAACACTCCCTAAGCACCATAACCAACTCTACAATGAAACTATCAAGATGGGTTACTAACCCATGTATATTAAAGTGAGTCATAAATGGATCAACTCAAATTTGTTATACAACCAAAATGGATTTTGAAAAGAAAAGTCCAAAATAAATGGGTCTATTGTGAAACTCACTTTCAACCCATATATAAAAAGAGTAAGTGAACAGGTCAGTCGATCTTCTTCTTCCTTCTACGCTGGTCTCTAGTGTCTCTTCCTCTTTGTTCCTAAGGATTGGGACTCGCGAGCTCTTCCCCTCGGGGAACGAGGCTCGCTTGAAATCGCCGTCCAAAGAGACGGTTGTGGGACTCTTGGGAGTGGAAATTACCGCCCCCGGCGGTGGCGGCGGCGATGCTTTTCTCCGACAAGGCCAAATTGAACTCGGAGAAGAAGGGGCCCCTACAGGATGGTGTTGACGCAATGCACCACGCACAGCTTCGACTCCTGCACCTCGTGGTACAACGTCCCTCCATTTTCGCAAATCAGGAACGAAGATGAAGAACCGAAGACGAGACAAAAATGAATCAAAACCCTATCGATTGGATTTGGGACTCACTTGGAAGATCTCGACCAATGAGGACGATGCTCCAAAACATCCTAGACGAGGGTTCTTCTCGACGAAATGGTTTTAATTTTTTGGAAAAATTTAAAATAAGGGCATGAAGTGCCATCATTTTCTCAAATAAGGGCCTAAAGTGTACTTTATCTCCAATAAAGACCTTAAGTGGTCAAATCATCTCAAATAAGGGTATGAAGTAGCCAAATCATCTTAAATAAGTACTTTTGGCTGGCCGGCAATTACTCTGACCATCGGAGAAGGGGTATTTTAGTCCAAAAAAATTAAGTATATTTTTTTAAATTTTTTACTTTCTTTTTCTTTTTCTTTTATTTTTTTTTATTTTCCCTATTCCCTCCCCCACCATCGCCGACATCCTCCGCCGGTCTCCGGCAAGGGCCGCCCTCGCCTTTAGGTCCTTATTTGAGAAAACGATGGTACTTCAAGTCCTTATTTGAGACAATGTCCACTTCAGGCCCTTACTTGAGAAAACAGAGACACTTCAAGCTTTTATTTAGAATTTTTCCAAATTTTTAAATATTTTTTGCAGTTCAATTTAAAGGACCAAAAAATATTTGTAGATATATTTTGGCCTTTTTCTCTGTTTTTTAAATTGGTAGATTTGGGTTAGATGTGGGTTGTTGGGTTGGGTATGAAACATCTAAATTGTTTAAAAAACAAGAGTTGGTATCACGAAAAACCCCAAACTGGTACACATGTGACAAATTTACCACAATTTAATTTTTTTACCACAAAAAATCCCAAACTGATATACCTATGACAAATTTACCCTCCGTTAGTTTTCGTTAAATTTTACTGTTAAATTATTGAGTTAGATGACATGTGGCGGTTGACGTGTACTAATTTGGGGTTTTACCCTCTGTTTGTTACGATTTGTGATTTTTCATGGTTTTAATCCAATTTAACGGAAATTAATGGATGGTAAATTTGTCACAAATGTACCAGTTTGGGGTTTTTTGTGGTCCAAAAATAAGTTTTGGATAAATTTTTCACAAGTGTATCAGTTTTGAGTTTTTTATGGTCAAAAAATTAATTTGGGGTACATTTGTTACAGGTGTACCAGGTGGGGTTTTTCATGGTATTAACCCAATAAACAAATGGGTCAATGTGAATTAAATGGGTGGATTTAGGTCAAATCCATTTATGACCCACCCAAACTCAACCCAACCATTTGCCACCCCTACTCTACATTTATCTTTGGATCAAATCTTTGAATTATTGATCAATAGTTACAAAGCTGTGTATATGGAGAAGAGCCGACGGCATTTTAGACATTATGATTGACAGGTGCTATTTCGCTGGAAATGCTCCCACAACGAAATATAATTTACCGAAAGTCATTATTCGATTCTTAATGAGAGGAGACCGGGTTCTGTGACTAATTTTGGACATGAGATATCTAGACGTGAACAAAGAGCTTGTTTATTTTGATCAGCAACACAGGTTTCGTGCCATGACGAAATTTGGCTAATAAAACTTTGAACTTTATAAACAATTCAGGCAAATCCACCTAGCTACGGACTGGTGGCATCCGAACTCCATCGATGCAACATTACAAAGCTATTGGGCTTAAAACGTAGATAACTACAGCTATGGAAACTAAAAGTGCAGAACTGAAAAGTAAAGATAATTGAAAAATAACATTTTGATGTATATTCGCGGGGAGGGCTTTTTCTGGCTGTCTGGTAATATTTATACTGCAAGTCTGATAACTGCCTTTTGATACCATAGTCAATAGCCACCATTGATCTCATCTTTACCATTCATCTGATGACACATGTCTATTAACTGCCATCAATCTTATCTTTTCATCCTAACACGTGTTCTTTTTTATGCGATAACCGTCGTCAATCTCTTTCCCGTCTTGACATATGTCCTTCTCTATGCAATAACTGTCATCGATCTCTTTTCGTCTTAACATATGTCATTCCACTATGTGATGACCATCATCGATTTCTTTCCGTCTTAACACCTGTTCCTCCCGAGCATCGATCTCTTTCCGTCTTGACACCTGTCCTTTGCTATGCGATAACCGTCATCGATCTCTTTTTGTCTTGACACATGTCCCTCCCGAGGCGATAACCGTTTTCGATCTCTTTCCGTCTTAACATCTGTCCTTCCCAAGGTGATAATCGTTATCTATCTCTTTCCGTCTTGACACCTGTCCTTCCTCCTTTTCTCATCAACAGCTTTGATGACTTGGGCTCCATGTAGCAGTTTTCATTGACGACTTTCGGTACGAAAGCTCAGGTGGCGCTTGCTTCCTCTACGATTCTAGCCTTTTCAATTTCAAATTCTTAAATTTCCCGCCAAGATATTTAAGTGCTTGCCAGCTATTTGCTTACGTAAATAACATTCTATGGGCTAAGTCATTCCTTGACAACCTTCATGCATTTGTCTCCATTACTTTATTTATTTTTGTTGTCGACAACCTAATTAATTATAGATGTCAACAGGTGCAAATCAGTTTATCCACATGCATTGGGTCAAATGGTGGCGGACTTGGCCCTCGTAAGTTACCTGAGTGTCGACAACAAAAAATGACCAACTGCGAAGGGTGTATTCGTTATATATGGGTTTTCTGTGAAAATTTACACAAAAAAAAGGTATAGTTTGGTTAACTTAGGGTAATTTACCACAAACTGCAAAGGGTTTCAATCTTTTGATGAACATGTTTGTCATTTCGAGCAACACTTCGGTTGCGAAATTTGAAGATTGCTATTTTAGAGGATGTCGTGGCGTTGTCTATCCGATCGATTACACGGCGGCAAAGTAAATCTCAGATTTTGACCTCTCTGTAGAAGCATAGTTTTGTAACGGGGAGGTACTTCAATCGTGTGAATCATGGATTTATACAGTGGGGAATTTAAAGAAGCGAAAAGCGCAATGAAGACTCTGAGGAGTCATTGGTCAAAGTTGGACCTCGTTTCTGATCAGAGGAATTCGATACGTTGCGGTTTTCTGCACCAGGACACAAACTTCAGGATCTGATGGCGTTTTTCCTTCTTTTGTTTGGACCGGTAACGCTCCACAAGAGCTTCGTCATCACCTTCCCACATCAAAACCCCCTCTTCACATTTCTCTCCCCTTCCCACTCTCTCTCTTTCTCTCTCCTTCTCTCTCTCTTTCTCTCGCATATAAAGAAGAGCTGCGTTCGATGGTTATGCGCAAATGGAGGCGTGACACGCGATGCTTGTCGTCGGACGTCATCGTCGGATGAAGAAGATCATCGAAAAGAAACCGGACGCCTTGATGGTCAAGTACTTCAGCGCAAGGTCTGTCGTGCTCCTGGTCCTCCTGGCGATATCGCTCCTGGTGCTGCCGCTGGTCCTGCCGCCGCTCCCGCCGCCCCCGGCGCTGCTGCTCTTCGTTCCCGTCCTCATCATGTCGGTCCTCATCCTCCTCG